AATGGGTACAAACACTTAGGGGAAAGGTCCAGCAGTTTTGTTTTTTTTTTTAATAAAACTAAATGTGTATTATACCTACCTTATCTGTCACACAATTTCACTCCTGAGAGAAAATGATAAATCCACAAGAAGACTTGCGCATGAATGGTCATGGCAGTTTTATTACTGATAACCCAAAATGGAAATAGCCCAAGTGCCTAGCAACAGAATGGATGAATGTTGCCATGGGAGGCCATACTACTCAGCAATAAAAGGAACAAATCACTCATAAACACAACATTGGGTAGATCTCAAAAATATGCTGAGTTTCTAGAAGCCTGGCACAAAAGAGTAAAAATTGCATGACACCATTTATATGAAATTCTAGAAAACGGAAAACAAATCCAATGTGAAAAAGAAACAAAATCAAATCATTGGTTTTCTCGAGGGGGTGGAGGCGGAGAATGACCAGGAATGAACATAAGGGAACTTTCTGGGTTTAACAGTAATGTTTTCTTTTCTTTTCTTTTTTTTTTTTTTAAGATTTTATTTTTTGAGAGAGAGAGCGAGCCAGAGAGAGCGCACACAAGCAGTAGGGAGAGGCAGAAGGAGAGAGAGAAGCAGAATCCCCACTGAGCAGGGAGCACAACATGCTCGACTCCAGGACCCTGGGATCACGACCTGAGCCCAAGGCAGATGCTTAGCCGACTGAGCCACACAGGCCACCCTGTAATGTTCTCGGTCTTGACGGGTAGGATTACACAGGTAGATGCATTTGTCAAAACTCAAGAGTGTACACTTAAGATTTGTGCACTGCAGGGTATAAATTTTATATTTAAATTTTATATTAAACACATAGAAACTAATACTGACCTCCAGCTAATGGTATGTGTGCTTATGTATTTGGAAGGAAGTATATTAATGTCACTAATTCACTTAGAAATGTGCCCAAAAATAGGATGGATAAAAGGATGAAGACGACGGACAGATGGATAGGGGGATGGATACACAGACAGCAATAAACCAAGTAAACAGTAAAATAGTTGCTAAGTATACAGGTTTATACTACAAATAATATACTTAATTTTTCATGGTGAAATATTGGGACCAATAGTTTAAAATTTTTTTTTCTAATTTTATTTGACAGAGAGAGAGATCACAAGCAGGCAGAGAGATAGGCCGAGAGAGAGAGAGGGAAGCAGGCTCCCCGCTGAGCAGAGAGCCCGATGCGGGGCTCGATCCCAGGACCCTGAGACCATGACCTTGAGCCGAAAGCAGGGGCTCAACCCACTGAGCCACCCAGGCGCCCCGCGACCAATAGTTTAAATAGAATCCAAATAGTTTAAGCCCTAACATGACAACCCTGCGATATGACCAGAATTTGTACTTTCCCAAATACGAAGACAAATTGAGAAAGAGAAAACCATTTGCTGAATTAAAACAAGTCAAGAGTTTACCAACTGGAATTTAAATTAAAACTTGAAAAGTAAACCAACCAACAAACCAAAACAAACCAAGAAACAGGGGAAATTTAATAACAGACAGACTCAGCCCTACGGTTGGGCTTCCTGCCCTATTTTGATGATGTCTTCTGGGATCCAATCTGTGTCTTTCATTCTCCTTGGCATGCTTTCTTGTCTTCCTTTGTCAATGAAGATTTAAAAAATAAAAATAAGACTTCTCAGCCAGTGTGCGGCAGGATCCTTTAACTCTCTGGTAACATCACATCAGCACTACAGGTCTGGCTACCAATTCAGCTTGCTGCCCGCTGGGATTCCCGTGTGACCCTCTTTGGGTATTCTGTCAAGTCATTCATTTATCCAATGGAACAGGAGATAGGGCAAGCGGTGGCTTCCAGTGCGTCCAGAATCTCCCCCAACAAGCCAGCGTTAAGACACGTGGAATGCAGAGCAAGCCACTGAGAAATTCTCAGTACGTCACCCCAGTGAGCAGCATTTCTACTGTGGGCCAAATGGCGGATGCCTCGAATTATGTTAACTTCCACCTCTGAGATCTAAACACACTGCTAGCTCCCCAGCACCACACCACACACACATTTTTAAAATGAAGCTGGCACTTGCCATCCTAGATCTCACAGCCATCAGTTACAGGACACCTGAATTCCTCCCTGTGCCATCGAACCACGGATCCCAGGAACAAGCCCCAGCAAGGCGGCCCACGTCCACATGTGCTGACAGCATCACACAGGTTCAAGTGCGAGGGCTGCTCCAAGACCAATCACGCAGCCCACAGGCTTGTGCGGGGAAGGGGCCCAGCTGGCGGCTCCCTGCAATCAGGCAGGCCCCTTCTCTCAGGTCACTCTTCTGGCCCTGTGGAGGAAAAGGACACAGGACCTCCACACTGCTTGAGTTAAAGTCTCCATTTATTTTATTTTTTACAAAAATCCAACATAAGACTATTGTGCTCATGACTGGAAAAGGGGGACAAGGTGGATGGACATGGCATGGACATCAAAGAGCTTCCCCCTGCAAAATATCATCATTTCAAACCAGGAGCTCCCTGAGCACACACACAGGCAGCGACTAAAGAGACGACCCCCACCCGCCCAGACAGGGCCTCCCCGACGGTGCGCAGGCCTGGGCTTGAGGAGCAGTCCCCAACACACGGAAAACCACTGCCAGGGGCACAAAAGCTCAGAGCGGCCTGATCAGCACCTTCGGGAGGCTCTCACATTGGTGAATGCCCCTCAGGGTTAAGAGCAAACTGGCTAGCCACGGACAAACACATACTGGGCCCTGGCAGCAAAGACCAGGCGAAAAGGTGTGACCTGTGGAGGGCGGGGGAAATCCATGTAAGCTGCAGAGCTGTTTTCCTCTTCTAAATGAGTCCCAGTCACGTGGTTTAGAGGACATCTGTGTTTCCCAATGGGACAGATCAGCATCAAGGGCATTTGAAGCATGGAGCTGGGCCCCCCCCAACCACCTTGCAAAAAGCAGCATCCATTCTCCAGGAGCACCTAACAGAGTAATGTAAAAGGTCTGACTGCGCAGCCTCTTGCTCCTGAGGAGCATCGCTCAGGAACATGGCCAGTGCCCACCAGAGCGTGCTGTTTGGAGTCCCTCCAGTTAGTGTCCTGTTAGGTCCAAGTAGTGCTCACCTTGAGGCTCTGACAGCATAAGCCTTCCTGCAGTAGACTTCAATGTCATCCAGAATCTCAGACCACTCCGCTACTCCTGCATCTCCCAACAGCATTCGGGGACCCACCAGCCTGGCTCCGTGACAGGGGGTCCTAACAGACTGCTCTTTTCTCGCGGGCTCCCACTGAAAGCCAGTTTATGAGTTCCTTACATGAAAATAAACAAGATAAAAATAGCAGCCACGTATATAGCTCAAAACACCACACTCTTTGGCTCCCTGGACGGAAGAAGGCTACCACTACTTAGGAGTCAGGAAAGGGGAATTAGAAAGTTAGGGTGCCGGGAGTCTGGACCCCTCTGTTGGGCTGCTGAGAAGCAGGGCTGAATTTCCTGGGTAGCTGCCTCTATAGGAGAGCAACAAGAAAATGCCAGTGGGAATCTCTGGAGGCCACAAGTCCTGGGAGCAGCCCTGGTCTTGCCTGCCAATAAGGAGAGGTCTTTTAATCCAGCTAGCCCTCTACCTGGGTGGGATCTACAGGACAGAATCTGGCTTCAGAATGATACTTGAAGAGACCCACTGAGACAGGTCAGAGGAGAATGTGCCCCCAGGAAAGAGAAGCACAGGGTGTCAAGGTCTGGGGAAGACAGAACTGGCTTAAGGCATGTACATGACCAGGACAGACCTGAGCTTTTGTCCAGCTGTGGGAAACCACCTGTATTCAACTCCACTGCAAGAAAGTGGGGTCCAGGAAAATGGTAGAAGTCAATGGTTAAATCCCTGCCAGATGCCACTAACAGCCTCTTCGGGTCCCCTACTGCCACCACCACCAAAACAAAGAAAAAAAAAAAAAAGAAAGAAAGAAAATTAGCTTATTACCATTTCAGCCAGGGAATAGAAATGTAAACCCAGAGTGGAAAGTGGTAACATGGGTATGAATGCCTATGAAATCTCAGGCCGGACTGGAGCCTAACATAATAAATGATGTCTTCTTATCGTTCTGGCACATAACAAATCTCAAGGGGTTCTGGAACAACCTGGAATGCGGGATCTAAAAACTACAGGTAACATAGGGTATAGGTCCAGACAAAGGTTGAAGGAAGGTGAATTTCACCAAGGTATTTATCCCAAGGCAGGTGCCTTGCTATAAGACTTCCCGGCCAGCCGGGTGGGGGTCCGCAAAGGATGCTCGCTCATTCTACACCAGAGAGAGCAGGCCAACCTGCAGACCACTTCAGATCACAGCTGGAGGTGCGGCCTGCCAATTCTCTGTTCTCTTAACAAGAGAGAACTTTCAGGAAAGCCTGAAGCCAAAGCACAATGTGCGTTTCAAAAGGAGGGCCTAACGAGAAGAGTCATCTGGGAGCACCATCTTCAGGTCTCACTCCTTCCTCATTCTTCTGTTTCAGACAGGAGAGAATGGGAGCTGGGACAGCTCAACCTAGCAATGAATCCTCAAATAGCACTGAACCCAGCACAGGGAAGCCTTGCTGTTCCCAAATGTGCAGGTCCTCCCAACGTACTCAAGTAACAGGAGGACTTAAGCTCCAGATTACCAGTTGGCACAGATGGAGGAAAGAACAAACCAAGAGGGCTTATCTCGTCCAAGAGCTCCCTAGGAGAGCCAAGCCTGGCCCTTTTTTGTTTCTGCACACAGATGCTCTGGGGTATACGGAGATGATCTTTAAGAATGAGCCAGATACCATAAGGCCAGGATCCATCTCCACTAACGTCCAGAACATCAGAAAACTTAGTGGGTCCCTCACTTTGTGAAACAGGCAGAACTCTCAAACTTCCCCCCCAAATCTATCTATATCTCTCTCTATATATGTATATGTATGTGAGAGAGTGTGTGTGCATATATACATACATATATATACACACTTATATATAAATAAGCCTCGAATGGCAAATCTCAAACTTTCTCCTTTTAAATAATAATAATAGTTGTTACTGAATTTAAAAACCACAAACCAGCTGTCCTGGACTTATGAACTGCGTGAGCGACTCCCCGGAGTCCCCATTGTCCTCAGTGTAAGCTATCAGTCAGTGCCCTGTGTAGGGAACCCCCGAGTCCTCTGACCAGGGTTCCAGGCCCAGTGTGGCCGACTTTAAGAGGAAGAAGGCTACTTCCTTTCCACTCTTCCCGCCTCCATTCCCGTAGAGGGTTTGGGTCACCCACCCAGCGGATGTCCCTGGGGTCCTTCAACGTCTAGGAACCGTAGAAGCCATCTCCCCCACTCTGTTCATCCTCTTCCCGGCACTTGCAGTGTCCCTAGATGAACTTGAAGCACTTGGTCTTGTCGTGGGGCAGGCGGGTCTTGAAGAGCACAGAGTCCACCCTGAATTGAGTGTAAAGTAGGGGCATATAGCCATACACCTTGACAAAGAAGTTGATACATTTGTGCCGCTCATGGAAGTGGGAATCGTCGTGTGACAGGGCCTGAGGGCATCCTGGGCATCGGAAGGTCCACCGAGAGGTCACCTGGGAATCGGGAAGAAAAAGCACAGTGAGAATCACAGGGACCAGGATGGACAGAAATCCTGCCACCTAACCAATCCGACACTTCCATTTTCCCAGGGAATTCACTGACCGCAGGTGGCCATGTTCACCCACAGAGGGCATCAGGAGCCAGAGCCTTGGCTCCTTCCTGCCACATACGTAGCTGTATCGCTGGAAAGAGTACTCTTTCCAAATGACCTAAACTGTAGATATCAAAAGCCTTACAAGGTTTAGTATTACTTGTCTCAATAACTCAACCTCTAGTACTTATCTGGGTCACACGGCAAGACGTAGCTATAAAGGTGTTCATTCCATCAACGTTTTTAGTAGCAAAAACTGGAAAAGTACCCACCAAACGGGGACCAGTTAGATAATTATTAAATACTACCCATCCACTAGAAAAGGTATTTAGGAAAACTCTATCTGAAGACATGGGAAAGTTGTTATATGATCGTAGCAGTAGTTGGGATGATGCTGAGGAAATTTCAAGCAGTTAGAACAGAATAAAGAATAGTATTACAGCTTCACTTCCAGCAATGTGGCAGAACAAGTAACCGAAAACTCCCTTAGCAGAGAATACCTGAAAATGCAGGACGAACTATATAAACAAACTCTTGAGAGATAGCAATGAAAGAAAACCTGTAATCAAAGGAATGGAAATAAAAGGAAAGAAATTAAATCATCAGAGGCCAAAATAATGAAAAAGCCTGAATTCAATGAACTAGCCAGAGCTTTGGTTTTAAACAGGCTGGGGAGGCAAGAGCCACAAAACTACTGGAGAGTTTTCAGAACACCCGGACCCAACGGAAGGCTGCATGGGTTGGAGGCAGCTCCACAGAAAGCTGTCTTCCCAGCCTCTGCTCTAAGTGGAAGAGGAACTATCACCTGTGAGAATGGAAAGCCACACACTGGCCCTCACCCACTTGGGGCTAGGGTTTATGTCACCTGTGTGTTCTGAAAAGCCCCAAGATGCTAATTTAGCTTAAACAGGTCTCAACTAGGTCTTGACCCAGGGTACGCAGAAGAATCAAGTACAAACCCTCTCGGGTATAAAGTCAGGCCTCCCAGAAATGCCCTAAGTGAAATCCTAAAGAATACAATTTCACAATCAAATTCACAAAAAAGGGAATGAACCACATGAGGGAGAATCTGCAGAAACCGACAACAGAATCAGACCCCCAAACCCTGCAGTATCCAGGATTCTCAGATGGTGATGAGAAAGGTAAATGTATACGTGCCCTGAAGACTACTTAAGGTCTGAGAAAGAAAGCCGGGACTCTCAAAAAAGTCCTAATAGATGTGAAAAAGAACCAAAGAGAACAAGAATGAAAAGCATACTGAATTAAATCAGACAATGGATGGGTGTGAAAAGAAAATTAGTGAGGAAAAGTACACTAAAATAACTACCCGGAATAGAAATATTGACTAAAAGCTTTAAAAAATAGGAAAGAATGATTGAGAGACACGGAGAGGAGATACTGTAGGATTCCATTTAGATAAAGTTCAAAAAGAGGCAAAACCGATCCTGCAAGAGAAAAAAAAGACCTTGACTGGCTGTCATTCCGCCAGCCGAGCTCCCTGGCCTTTAGGGAAGACACTCAGGCTCCATAATAACCAGGCAAATGTGAATGAAAATAGTAGGATACAGTTTATACCCATCAGATAGGCAATAATGGAGGTGTGGCAGTACTGAATGTTAGTAAGGATGTAGAGAAACTGCAACTATTATACAATGCTGGTAAGAATATACACTGGTACATCTATTTCCAAGAAAGTTTGGTACTATCAAGTATAATTGAAGGTACACGTACCCCATGACCTCACAGGAGAGGAATGGATGGAGGGAGGGTATTATAAGACATCTACTCTATTTGTAATATTTTAATGTCTTTTAAATTTTAGTTTTTTTCAAGTAGACTCCACGCCCAGCATGGAGCCCAACACAGGGCTTGAACTCACGACCCTGAGATCAAGACCTGAGCTGAGATCAAGAGTTGGATGCTTCACCAACTGAGCCACTCAGGGGCCCCTACTGAGATTTTTGATTTTTAAAAAGTCATCCTAATCTTCAGTTGAACTCTTATATTCCCATAAGATTGAGAAAATTCCCAAAGAATACTCATTTTTCAAGATTTCACTTGGTAAGGATCATGTATACCATGTGCAAATTATTTCTGTGTCATTCTCTACACTGAAGAGATGGTTTTGGCTAATGAAACACTGGCCTAATAATATGGTAGACAAACACGCTTTAATAAGGACAAAAAATTCATCATGTCTGTGAGTGCTTCAGGTGACTGATGCTATTATTAGGCACCTACTCACTCAGATACTTTAAATTTTCATGGATAATGCCTTCTGATCTACTAGCAAAGTATAAATAGAAGTATACATCTTGGATGAAGTTTAGTCCCTGGCCACATAAGAAAGGATAAAGAAAGAAAAGAACATTACACTGATTATTAATTTCTTTCTAAGACCCCTATCTCCCTATCTTAAAGTTTATAAGGAAGTGTGCCTTTTCATTTAACATCACACAGAATGAAAACAAATATTTTCATTTAATATTTATTTATTTCAATATCTATCACTGCACCTGAGAAACACACTACACTTTTATTAAAATAATTATAACAATTATTCCATTTTTTAAAAATTGGAATATTATTTTGCTAATTATTTTTCTTTTGTGAGATTTTAGCAGACAGCCCAGGAATAGAAAAAAACTATGGGGTAATCAGGAATTAAGTTCTAATGCTGAGCTATACTTGGGAAAAGGTATGATTAGGTATAAATGAATACATAAGGCCCACAACTGTTTTTCTCTCTTTTAATGCTTTTTTTTAATGAACCCAATGTCCTCTGTTTACCACTCTACCACCACTAAAGATATCATTAGCATAGGTTGATGATTACTTAATCTATAACTTACCTTCAAAATATAAAAAGAATGAAATACTGATAGATACACATGAAAGTGTATTTTATTCTTCTTATATTCATACTCCTTATATACATACTCCAATGTATATGGAGGTATACATTTACCTCCATGTATAATGATATACATGGAGGTGAACTTGCTATTTTGTAAAATTAAATAATATGTCTTTTTAATAATAATGACATTAAGATCTGACTCAGCTTATTAATCCTGAGGACATCAGGTATGAATCCATCACATAAATACTGACAGACCATGGTCATAGATACTATTACTTTGAACTGACAGATTCTCAAGTATTAACTGCTGCAAGGTCCTTACCAGGCCTACGCTAATCCCTACCAGAAGAGCTTTCACTTGTCTGCACCTGCAATGATGACACAGAGGTGATGTAACTGGCCCTTCTGTGCACTGAATATGAAATTATTATATTCTGGTAAAATATATTCACTAACTCGAAGACAAAGACAGAACTCAAATTTCTAGAATTCTGAGGGTACTTGTGGTTTTGTTTTTGAATAAATTGTCTTTCATAGTATTACTTATATGCCTGGTACTATTTTTAGAGCTTTACATATATTAACGCAGAAACCTTAAATTTCTTGTGCCAAGGGTCTATGGAAAACGTAATAATTTTAAAGTCTTGATGGACATAAATAATACTTCAAGATGTAACAACAAAAGTAACGTGATATGAAAATACCTGTGAGTTCTACTGGTGACAATCACGGTTGCTGCAAATACTCTTAGAATGGTCACGTGTTTCCTAACCGATGAAAATGCTAAATCCCAGTTACAGATTAGCAAAAATTAAAGATGTTACATTTTTCCCATCCAAGTTCCAAACCCTCTGACTTCTGTCCATTTAACCTTAGTAGTTAAGAGTCCCTTTATTCACAATTCATTTAACCCAAAGACAATTACAGATGAGGACTATGAGGTACGGTGAGTTTCATACTGCACTACTGCAAAATAAGTGAATTAAGTAAGCATGCACCCCCAGTCCCTTAAGTACTGGGACCCTCACCTTGATGGGGGGTTTCCGAGTGATGTGGGAGACAAGGAAGTTCATGGCAATGTCCTCACAGTTGATGTATTCATCCACCATATCTCGGATGGCCTGGGGCATCACGTAAGAATACAGGTAGGCATAATACTGTCAGGGGTAGAAAAAGAATCACATAATCTGTTAGAGTCCACGGTTCTCTGGCTCTCAGCCATGAATGGATCCAGGGGCTGTTGGGAAGTGTAGGGTGGGGAGAAGGTTGGGTGTGATGATCAGTCATGGAATCACCACTCCATGTAGGGAGCTGGGGCCAGGGATGCTAAACATCCTACAAGGCAGATAACTGTAATAAAGAATTATCCCATCCAAACTGCCATTATCACCCCCCTTTTGAGGTCCTTGGTTCCTCAGTGACTTTATAACAATAAGAAGATTCATCAAAGTAGGTCAGACGGTGGTTTAGATGATCAGCACCCTATGTGTGACAATGGCAATAAGGGGTAAGTGAGGGGAAAACCCGGCGATAGAGCCATAAGACATCCAATCCCTCAGTTCCTCCACTTAAGGATTCTAGAATCGATCACTTCTGAACTCTTGCCCCTGGCTACTCCCTACTCCAAGTTATAAACATCTCTTGCCTGGATTATTCATACAGTCTCCTAAACAGTTTCTCTGCTCCCATATTTTCTTTCCTCCAATCCATTCCATGCACACCAGAGTGATCATGTTCAAACGTAAGCTCAAGTGAACATGTCACTCCAAACCCCTCAATGGCTTTTCATCTCGCTCAGAGTAAAGGCCTATGTTCTTAAAATGTCCTAAAGGCCCACAAAATGGTGTGCTAAAGCTGGCTCACACCTGCTAATGAATGTCAATTGCAAAATTTTCAGGAATTTTGTGAGGCCATTTAGAATTTTGTGAGATTATTATGAAAAATGGCCATTATTAAAAAATATAATTACATAAACTTAAAATTAAATAAGCTATATTAAAAACCAATAAAAACCTAAAGCACATCACTTCTTAATTAGCTTCATTTCAGTATTGTTTATTACATTTTACTATTGTCTTAATTTATTTATGTCTATCATATCTATATGGTGAAAATATTATAGAACTGTGCCCATCCCTTCCCATCTCCAAATTCAGTGACTCATGTCCATAACTTGAAATGAGCCATGCCAAAAATATTTATACCACAGAAATGGACAAATGCCATAAACACGGCACATATTAACTATGATATGTTGCAATGTTGCGGCTGCTGAATGAATAGGTGAGATGCCCAATAAAACTGGTTTATACGTTAGAATTAAAACTGATTTAAATAGTTAGAATCTATGTAATGAAATAATGATCATAAAATTTTTGTACTACCCACTGGTTTGCTGGTTATCTTGTGGCAAAGTACTTAAAAGATGGTGAACTTAAAAGGTGAATTACAGGGATGCCTGGGTGGCTCAGTGGGTTAAAGCCTCTGCCTTCAGCTTAGGTCATGATCCCATGGTCCTGGGATCAAGTCCCACATCGGGCTCTCTGCTCAGCGGGGATCCTGCTTCCCTCCGCTCTCTCTCTCTGCCTGCCTCTTTGCCTACTTGTGAGCTCTGTCAAATAAATAAATAAGGTGAATTACACGTATTTCTTTTATAAAAAGACAGATGATTGAAATTTTTTGATACTTTAAATGGCCAGTGGCTGTCATGAGTATGCTAATGAGAATATATTTACTGAACACAATTTATATCCTCAACAAGAACTGCCTTTCTAGAAAAATGGAGAAAAGCATTATGAAAACAAATGTTTAGAAGTATTTCCACCATTATGAGATTGTGACTAATGCCATAAATCAATAAATACTTTGATATCTGTATATTTTAAAATATATAAAAACTTTGTAACCTATTTAAAAATATTTTATCTTTTTAACTTTTATTTTTATTGATTTTTTAAAAGATTTTCTTTATTTATGACAGAGAGATAGCAAGAAAGGGAACACAAGCACACGGGAGCTGGAGAGGGAAAAGCGGGCTCCCTGTTCAGCAGGAAGACTGACATGGGGCTTGATCCCAGGATGGTGGGATCATGACCCTAGCCAAAGGCAGACAATTGGGGCGCCTGGGTGGTTCAGTGGGTTAAAGCCTCTGCCTTCGGCTCAGGTCATGATCCCAGAGTCCTGGGATCAAGCCCCATATCGGGCTCTCTGCTTGGCAAGGAGCCTGCTTCCTCCTCTCTCTCTCTCTGCCTGCCTTTCTGCCTACTTGTGATCTCTATCTGTCAAATAAATAAATAAAAATCTTAAAAAAAAAAAAAAAAAGGCAGACACTTAACAACTGAGCCACCCAGGCACCCCTGTTTAAAAATATTTTAAATGAAGTTTCAATGGCTTTAGAACCTACTGTAAGAAAAAGTAACACTTTCTCATTAGTTTACTAAAAAAAAAAAAAAAAATCAAATGACATTACAGAAGATGAAAATTCTAGTCCAATTTGAACACAATTTAGTGGATGAGTATCGTGACTTAATAAGCACAACAATATGATATTTCTTAAAGGGACAATAACTAAAACCAAGTATCAAAAACATGTTTAATTTAGAAATAGAGCTCCGATTTGCCATAACACAGTGTCAAATCAAGATTTTAAAAAATAATACACTGAATCTAATATAACACTGTATGTTAACTAACTGGAATTAAAACAAAGAGTTAAGGGGCACCTCAGTGGCACAGTTGGTTAAGCATCCGACTCTTGGTTTTGGCTCAGGTCATGACTTCAGGGTTGAAAGACTGAGCCCCATGTCAGGATCCATGCTGGGTGACAGCCTGCTGGGATTCTCTTTCTCCCTCACCCTCTGTTCCGCCCCGCTGCACACACACACACTCTCTCTAATAAATAAGTAAATCTTAAAAAACAAAACAAAACAAAAAAAAACCACCTTAAAATAAATGAAGCACATTCAATCATATTGCTCTCACTAAAATTTAAGAATTCACTGAGAATATTATTTTGAAACTTTATTTCATTTTATCTCAACATTATAAAAATTTCTGTAAGTACAGTAGTACATATATAAATTTAATGTATAAATAAATATACACATCTGTGTGGTACAGGTTTAAAATTTTTAATTGATCGGTATTTATAATTAAAAAACTTCATCTTTCAGAATTAGGGATGACCAACTTCACTGTTTTCAAGGACCAAACAAGTAAGGTAAATAAATGACTTTTTTTTAAAGATCTTATTCATTTATTTGAGAGCGAGCGAGCGTGAACAGTGGGGGAGATGTAGAGGGGATGGGAAAGGAAAGGGAAAGAATCCCAAGCAGACTCCCTGCCAAGCACAGAGCTCGCCACAGGGCTCAACCCCATGACCCTGAACCAAGACCAAGAGTCAAATGCTCAACCAACTAAGCCACCCAGGTGCCCCGGTAAGTTCCATTTTAAAGAAACTGATGAAAGAAAAACAAAGAATCATGGGGCAAATAAACACAGACATGTCCATCTACAGGGAACAGTAGCTATGTAGCTCCAGCCAATTCGTGCCTGACAAGAACAATGCCCAATGTCACCTGATCTTCATGGTTACTGAGGTCCAGATCTTTCTGTAAAATTCTCTGGTACTGAAAAAGCCTGGCAGCGTATGGGATAGCACTGGGGGACTAAAAAAACATTTCTGTAAACCATAGGCTTGAGGGCTACTACTTTATAACCCTTGCTCTAGATTTCAAATAGAAAATAAAAACTATAAGGCATATTAAGTAAATGATTACTTGAAAGTAAAGGGATCTTGCTCTGTAACTTTTAAAGAGCAATCAGAATTTGAGAAGAGGCAGATTTCTCAGAAGACAAGTAAAGTCTCAAGGTATGAATAGACAATGCTGAAATTAGTGGCTCTTTCTCATATGACCAGTGTGAAAATAAAGGACTCCTAGTTTGGTATGGTTTCTCAGTCAGAAACTTCCTAATCCTACTGGCATCCCCCATCCCAACCAAAACCCACCTGTGTTTGGAAAATAAGCACAAGGGTAAGGTTCAAGAATGGGAAAAGCGTATCAGCTTCACACATTAAGTTGTAAAAAAGAAAAAAAAAAAAAAAGCTAACAATGTAATGATTTCTTAGGCTGGTTCAAAATGTCCCTAGCAAGATGACTTTCAAGATTCTCTTTGAGGTAGGTCACAAGATCCCACCATCTGAAATATGAAATATATGAGGGACAAAGCCTGGGGAGTGTTGGGATGTCAGTTTGAAGTACCAGAGGGACATACAGGGGGGTGGTGCCCTGAAAACAATTAGGTATATGAGTACAGGCTTCAGGGAACAGCCAAGGTTGGAATACAGGCACAGAAAATTACCAGCCTGTCAGTATTCAGCCCCAAGACCTTGAGATATTAGAGAATGTCTAGGGAAGACCAAAGTAAGAAGACCTAGACAGAGAAGCTAGAAGACTAAGATACTTCAACATTTATGGGGAAAACAGTATGGTAGATGGGTCTTCCATGAGGGCAATGAAGTTGCCCAGAATGAGAGAGGGCATTGCAGATCAAGAGAATGGGCCATGTGCCATGTTTTCAATGACCAGGAAGAAATGGGTAGGAGGTGCTAGATGGCAGCAACAAGACAGACAATGTAATCCTCAAATGAAATTTTATAGGATAGCTGAGAATCGTCTGGAAGTGTCATCAGTAAGCAATAATGGTTCTTTGTATCTTTCCTGCTCCAAAGTACATTATCTGGTGAAATGAGTACACTCAATCACTGTCCCTGGAAGAAATACAGGAAACAAGGTAAAGGGGAAGCGCTGTCCTCAGAGAAAAGTCAGGTTTTAAACAGGTCAAGAGATAGAGGAGACAACCTGTGAAGTGGGGTGTGCAGGCAGCTTGACCTCAGAAGAGGGATTCTTCAGAGCCCAGAAGTAGTACTTGGGAGAGAAGGTATAGAGCAACACTATCTAAGATATGTGAGTTGCATCTGTCACTTCTCTAGTGGCCACATTTTAAAAAAAAGATTTTCTTAATTCATTTGTGAGACAGACACAGAGAGCATAAGCAAGGGAGAGGGACAAGCAGACCTCCCACAGAGCATAGAGCCTGACACAGGGCTTGATCCCAGGACCCTGAGATCATGACCTGAGCCAAAGTTAGACGCTTAACTGACTGAGCCACCCAGGCATCCCTAGAGGCCACATTCTTAAAAAGAGAAACAATAAAATTAATTAGAATACATTTTATTTAACCCAGTGTAACCAAAATAATTGCATTTTAACATATCAAAATCTGGTGTGCACTTTACACTTACAGCTCATCTCAATACAGGCCAGCTGGATTTCAAGTGCTCAATAGCCATGTGTGGCCAGCGGCTACTTTACAGGACAGAAAAGGTACAGATGAAAGATAAGTCAGGAGCAAAAAGAACTTAGCAATAACAATACAGGAGAGAAGTAATGACTAGAGGGGTTTGCATTCTAGATGTTCAATAAAAATTGGGATGTGTGCCATGGTGAAAGCTCTAAGGAATAAACAAAACTTGCATAACCATAACAGAGGCTCGTGGTGAAGCCTGAGATAGTAGTGGGTTAACCCGAGTGAGAAGAGAACCAGCCTTCTGCTGGGCAGGCCATGTCTGGGATGGCAATGGCAAAACAACAGTATTTTAGCTCAAAGCTCTCAATTTTACAGGAGAGCCTATGCCCAGAAAGAACAAACTAATTTTCCTAATAGCCTACATACAATTGTGTAGGGAGCCTTCTCACCCTGACTTTTTATTCTGGAGTTGTTCTAAGCATCTTGAACACAGTCTTTAAAAACAGAAATAACTTACATCTAGCATGCAAGGGACATGTAAGAAACATAAGAAGGCTTAACTTTAGGGCAGCATTTCATTACCACACAAAGGCTCAACTCTTAACCAACCTCACACCAATCTTACCAAGCTTTTTCTTACCTTGTGAAAGAAGGCAGCACCTGTCAGCACCATGGACAGCTCACAGGAGTAGTTGGAGTTATAGAGCCAGGACTGATGAGGAATGTCCCATGCATGGTAACGGCCAGGGAAACCCACAATGCGATCCCGTGCTTCTCTCCACACCCTCAGAAAACACAAGTATATGCACATACCTCAGTACAAAGCTCTAAGATTATCAGAAACATTTAAAATTATTGCTCTATCTTGCAGACTCTGGCCCTTGGGCTATTCTTTTTTCCTCTTAAAAATTTTTAAACAGGGGCACCTGGGTGGCTCATTGGGTTAAAGCCTCTGCCTTCGGCTCAGGTCATGATCCCAGGGTCCTGGGATCAAGCCCCACAACAGGCTCTCTGCTCAGCGGGGTGCCTGCTTCCTCCTCTCTCTCTGCCTGCCTCTCTGCCTACCTGTGATCTCTGTCTGTCAAATAAATAAACAAAATCTTTAAAAAAAATTTTTTAAACAAAATTAATCACAGGCTAAACAGGATAAGAACAAGCAAACAGTGCTACATGTAGCTTCTTTAATAAGCACCCACTTACTGCTCTTCTAACTTCTGCAGCCAGGACTTCTCTACCCTTTACAGAAAGAACAAGCTGGAATAACATGCGAAGGAGGTAACTGAAGTTCAGAGTCTCCAAAATGGGGTATGTACATCATCAAAAGAAGTGATCTATAGGACCATACAATTGAAAGACTCAAAAATGCAAGAAATAATAAACTGAGGGTTGCCTGGGTGACTCAGTCAGTTAAGCATCTGCCTTCGGCTCAGGTCATGATCTCAGGGTCCTGGGTTCAAGCCCCACCCATTTTGGGATCCCTGCTCAAAGGCAAGACTGCTTGTCCCTTTCCTTCTGCCCCTTCTCCAGCTCGTGCATGCATGCACTCTGTCTCAAATAAATAAATAAAATCTTTAAAAAATAATAAACTGAAAATTCAGTATATTTCCAGGATAAACTTTTATATCATCCCCAAATTTATTGATAAGGTAGAACAAATAAAACTAGTTCCCCAATTTCACAGGCTAAAATCAGAAAGCTGAAAGCACTTATGCACTACAAAACCCTACAGCCCTGTAGCAGGGCTTCAGGAGTCCTATAAACAATGAACCACTACATCCCCACTCCACCTCACTCCCAAACAAAATATAAACAACTTGAGAAACTCTCTCATCACTTACATGGAACTTCAATTCCTAAAAAACGAAAGAGTTTATTCCCAAAGAGCTCCCCTCCTATTAGGTTTGAAAGCAATTAATCTAGTAGGATAGATGAGAAACCACAACTATCACAATTTAACAGTATTCTAGATGTGCCTTCTGCCATCTCCTACCCAAGTGCTACCTCAGTCCTAATTTATTTCCCAAGAACAACTCCAAATTACTAACCTAAAAAGCTGTAAGATGTTTTCATTATATATTTGAATGTAAGAACTGCCAATTAATACCACTGAGATATCTAAATGTTATCATCAATATTCCTAAAAATACTGATGTCTTCAAATGCCTATTGCTCTTACTAGTACTACTAGGCTAGCAGAATAGGAAACTGAATATTTCAATCATCTGATTTGGTTGATTTAAATAAACATAATGTAATAAATTCTTAATAAAGCAGAATCTATTGGGCTACACACATGATATCAAAAGATACCATCTAATTTGTTAAGGGCTGTCAACCATGACACCGTCAACTGGGTGTTAATTATTTATTAAATAATAAGGGAGGAAACCAATATGGAAGGAATTGTAGAAGATAAACACAGGGAACAGCTTAATTAAATTCCTGGGACAACACATCAGTAGTTATAGATAGTATGGTCTCAGTGGATATTTGAAAGTTAGGCATTTTAAAAGATTGACAATTAGGGACATCTGAGTGGCTCAGATGGTTAAGCATCTGACTCTTGATTTTGGCTCAGGCCATCATCTCACCAGGATTGTGAGATCTAAATGAATCCAGCTCCACACTCAGCAGGAGTTTGCCTCTCTTCCTCTCCCTCTGCTCCTCCCCCACTCGCATGCCTGGGTTCCAAAATAAATAAATCTTTAAAAAAAAAATAAATATCAAAATAAACAATGCTACCAATTTACATAAAATTGTTGCACATAATCAGTTCCTTAACATTATACTCAAACTTGCACTGCACTAAATATTTTTAACGTATGTGCTATATTATAGATCAGGCTTTGGTATACTTCACCTTTAATGAATTGTTCTTTAAATGTGTTAATGTTCTAGTTACCAAGACACTATATACTTTTGTTAAAGATTTATTTATTCGCTTTAGAGAGAAAGTACAGGGAGAGGCAGAGGGACAGGGAGAGAAAAACTCCAGCAGACTCCTGGCTCACAACTAACCTATGGCTCAATCCCAGGACCCTGAGATCATGACCGGAGGGGAAATCAAGAGTCCAGCGCTCAACCAACTGCACCACCCAGGGCCCCCCGCAACATACTATAACATGAAAAAAGTTTCAAAGGTAATTTATAGCTCAAACTTCAAAATAAAAAATTCGCTAGATAAATGAAAACTCAAAAAACTAAGGAAAATTTTAGAAATAATGAAATCAAGGCAGAATTCCACTGAAGAATTTGAATCATGAGTAATATTCTTCTATTTACATTTCAAACTTAAATACTATCATCTTGGAAATAAGTGCACCAACTCAACCTTTTTGTGGTATGAAGTTTGACACATCATTTACCACACATCATTTCCAAATTAGTACAGTCAGTTCAATAAAAACAAAAAACTGTTAACAGTTAAAACACTACATATTTTAAATAAAGACATTTTTAAGCAAGTATGCAAGATCTAAATAATTTTTAATGAGTTACCTGAATGAAGTAGAAGATGTTACTGTTAACTTTTTAAGATTTTATTTATCTATTTGCCAGAGAAAGAGAGAGAGAGAGCACACAAGCAGGCAGAGGCAGAGAGAGAAGCAGGCTCCCCGCTAAGCAAGAAGCCTGATGCGGAACTTGATCCCAGGACCCTGGGGTCATGACCCGAGCGGAGCCGAAGGCAGATGCTTAACTGAATGAGCCACCCACGCGTCCCTACTGTTAATTTTTTTTTTTTAAGATTTATTTCGTTGAGAGAGAAAGCATGAGCAGGGTGAGGGGCAGATGGAGCAGCAGACTCCCCAGTGAGCAGGAAGCCCAATGTGGGGCTTGATCCCAGGACTCCGGGATCATAACCTGAACTGAAGGCAGACGCTTAACTGACTGACTGATCCACCCAGGTACCCCTTGCAATTAATTTTTTTAAAAGATTAATTTGAGAGAGCGAGCGAGCATGGGAACGGAGATGGGGAGGAACAGAAGGAGAGGGACAAACAGACTCCCAGCTGAGCACAGAGCCTGATGTAGGTCTCTATCCCACCACCCTGAGATCATGACCTAAGCCAAAATCAAGAGTTGGATGCTTAACTGACTGAGCCACCCATGTGCCCCATTACTGTTAATTTTTAAATGAAAGCTGATTTTATGATTTTTGAAACTTAGGCATAACAGTTTTGAATAAAGATCAGTAAATATTTATGATATTACAGTATATTAAAGTATATTTACATTTAATGTAAATGTAATAATAAGGTACATAAAGGTAAAGTACTACATTTAATGTATATTTAGTACCTTGAAGTCCATATTAAACTAACATGGACTTTATTATACAAAGACACATTCTTAATCTTGTTGGTTACACTTCCATGTTTTTCCTTCTGGTTCATTAAGAATCAATTTGAAATGCTGTAAGAAAATAAACTGTAAAATTAACTAATAATCCAAAAACGTGTAAAAAAAAAAAAAAAGTAAGGTGAGATTTTGCTTCCTACTTAAGAAACAAGAATTTCTTTTCCAAATCCCATGTTTCTTATATTACGATAGTATATAAGCCTTTTCCTCCTCTCCAAAACAAAATACTGAGGCAAATCATGGCAAAGGAAAAGGTTTTGGTTAGTTCCCTTTGGAAAAGAAAACCCATAAAGCAGAGCCATGAAATACAGAGAAAAAGATCAATGTCCTGCTCCAAAACAGGAGACACCGGGGCCCAGGGGGAGAAACCTACCTTACAGTCCAGAATCCCACACCTTCTCTTAAGCTTGTGTAGTCTTTTCTTTCTTTCTTTTTCCCAATAAAGTTTACTGAGATATAAATCACATACCATAAAATTTACTCATGTAAAAGTGTTTGACTTTGGGTTTTAGTATATTCACAAAGCTGTGCAACCATCACCACTATCTAATTTGAGACTGTTTTCATCACTCCAAAAACAAACCCCATACCCAAGAGCAGTCGCTCCCCATCTCCCTCTGTCCCCAGCCGTGGCAACCACTCATCTACTATCTGACTCCACGGACTGGCCTACTGTGGACATTTCACATAAACTAAGTCAGAGAGCAGGTGGCCTTTCATACCTGGCTTCTGTCACTTAGCCTGGTTTCAAGATTCATATGGTAGCTCCTATCAGTACTTCACTCCTTTCTATTGCTAAATAGTATTCCACTGTATGGATATATCACTTTTTTTTTTTTTAATCCATTCATTCGCTGATGGATGTCTGGGTTGTTTACACTTCTTTTATTTTTTTTAACAACTCATTTTTGTGTGTGTGGCAAAATACATGCAACATACATTTACCATTTTAATCATGCTTATGAGCACAGTTCAATGGCATTAAATACATTCACACTGTACAACCATCAACTCCATCCATCTCCAGAAGTTTTTCATCTTCTCAACCTGAAACTCTGTGCCTATTAAACACTTAACTCCGCATTCCTGCCTTCCTCTAGCGCCCTGGCAACCACCATTCAACTATCTGTCACTGTGGATCTGACATAAAAATAGAATCATATGATATTTACCCTTCTGTGTTGCTTATACTTGTTCACTATTATAAATAATACTACTATGAACATTCATGTACTGCTTCTGTATGGGCAAACGTTTTCAATTCTCTTGGATCCCCATTGTTTTACCTGTCCATTAAGAACCTATCTCCCTTTTTCTTTGCTATGTAAGTTGAAATTAGCCAAACCCCTATTATCCTTTGCCTGAGGAGGTAGTTTTTGTTATACCTGCTTCTTCCCTTTTGAACCTAGGTCTGTTCCACTCCCATTCAGATGAAATAAGCAAACTGGAAAGAAAAGAAAAAGCTTTTAGAGGCGATTGGGTGGTCCCAGGGTTCTGGGATGAAGCCCCACATCAGGCTCTCTGCTCAGAGGGAAGACTGCTTCTCCTTCTCACGCTCCCCCTGCTTGTGTTCCCTCTCTTGTTGTCTCTCTGTCAAATAAATAAATAAAATCTTTAGAAAGAGAGAGAGAGAAAGAAAAAGCTTTTAGATCAAAGGATGCGCAAATAAATGAGTCAAGGTGATGAAAGATTGGGTAGTACCACCAGAAATAATTCTCCAGTTCTATACCGGAGGCTAAACCACAAATTTCCAATGATTGGTAAGAAATTCTTACAACTCAATAATAAAAAGACAAATAATCCAAATAACAATGGGCAAAGGATCTGAAAAGACACTTCTTCAAAGAAGATACACAAATGGTTACTGCACATGAAAAGCTATTCCACATCATTAGTCATTAGAGAAATGCAAATCAAAACTATACTGAAATACCACTTCACACACAGTAGGATGGCTATAAACAAAAAACAAAAAATAGCAAATACTGTCAAGAACATGGAAAAACTAGAACCCTTATACACTGATGATGGCAATACAATGATGCAGCCTCTGTGGAAAACAATACAGTAGTTCCTCAAAATGTTAAAGAGTGATCCCACCCAACGTATATATCCGAGAGAAAAGAAACATGAACACAAACACTCGCACATGAATTTTCATAACAGCATTATTCAATAACCAAGAAGTAGAAATAACCCAAATATTCATCAACAGATAAATCGACCAGCAAAATGTGTGTATCTATACAAAATAAGTATCAACATGTGCTATGGGATGAATGAACCTTTTAAACACTAGGTTAAGTGAAAGGTGCAGGTTACACATCAGCACATATTATATGGTACCGTTAACAGTCAGAGTGTCCACAAAAAGCAATTTATGGAGGCACAGGTAGATTAATAGTTGCCTAGGGCTTAGAGCAGTTGGAGGGAAGTGGGAAGTGAGGCGTTATCGGTACACAGGATTTCTTTTGGCCGTAATGAAGATTTCTAAAAAGATCAAGGTGACAGTTGCATAACGCTGTAAATACACTAAAAACCATTGAATGAGACATAAATGAGTGAACTGTATGACATATGAATTGTATTTAATAAATGTTACCCAAAACGAAATTGTGAGGAAATGATCCCAAACCTGGATGTCACAGTAAATGTCAAACTGCTTTAAAATTAAGTCTCTAATGCCTACCCTCAATTTTTGTACTTACCTCACTGTGGACAGATGATAAACTGTCCACGGCCTGCATTCTAGTCCATGATACACCTTGAACAGTCCTGATCTACTCCGTTCTCTAACCTGTAATGCTCCCTCAACTGGGATATACAAGCCCCAGTAAGAACTACTAAGAGTCAAGAAAACAAAATAGTTAAGTCAGTAGGTACTACAAGTTCCGGAGTCAGACAAACCTGCACTTGAATTCCAGCTCTGCCACTTACTCTCTAGAGTCATGGTTTGGTTCTCCTGGATCTCAATTGACTCCTATTGAAATGGAGATGAGTACAACTTGTATCACCAAGTTTTTGGGGTGTTAATGAGATAAATTGTAGAGTGCTCAGCCAGTCTCTGGCACACAGCCTGGGCTCACCAATATCATGCACTGTCATTATCAGAACCACCTCCACCATCTCCTCCCCCTCTTTTCCTCTGGATCTTTACATCTAACCCCATCCTTCCCTATGTCTTTTAAGCCCCAGGACTCTGGCACTGTTGCATTGCCCTAACACACAGCAACATGTTGCTTCTGCCTGACTGGGAGCTATTCCCCATTCCTGTAAACACAAAAAGCTCCTATTTTTTTCAGGAAACTACCCTTTGCCTCCACTCAGTCCATGTGGTTTGTGGTTGGAAGATGATATACTTGCAGCTCCAGGGCCAGGCAGATAAGCCTGGTCTAGCCAATCACAGAAGCCATCTCCCTGGCCTCAAAGGAAGAGCCTTTGTGAAATCAAAGGCAACAAAGAGGAAAGCAGAACCTCGAGATGAAGAGAAATAGAGCTCTCCAACATCACCTATGACCTAAAATCCAGCTATGTCCTAAGTCAGCCATTACTACCTCTGAGGATTTCTGTTACTGGCAGCCAAGAAATTCATTTTGCTGCCTAATCCAAGTTTGAGTTGCTCTTCTGTCACTTGCAAACAAAAGTGTCTCCTGATTGAAAATCAGCTGCTCACCGAAACCCAAACATGATTTCATCATGGCGAAGGTGAGCATCATCATCAATAGAGAGGATGGCCTCTGTCTCAATTTCATTCCAGGGCAAGAATCGATTGTTCAAACTGTTCTTCTCAGTACGGACCACCTGTAAGGAGGAAGTAAAAACACTAATGGTCAGTGCTGCATTACAGAATACGAAACCCAAACTGCCTTTAGGTCAAAGGTAAATTTACTAAATAATCTTGCCTGGTTGCCTACTGCTTGTAAACCCTAGCATATGCCTTTCAGGAATAGAAACTGCCTTATAATTCAGCAAATGTGTAAGGATTTCACATTGTAAGCTTTATTCATTTGCTAACTAATTTCTTGTGAAAGCAGTTAAAGCTGAGGATTATTTTACATAAGCGATAAACACAGTCTAGGGAAATCAAAAATAACTTTCCCAAGAGAACACAAGGTGGCAGAGTAGAACTGAGATTATAATTCCCAGCTCTGAAATCCCCAGGCTTGCTCATGAATTTTAAAACCCAATTCAGAAATCACCTCAGTCTGTGTCATTTCTGATGCCTAATTTTAAGGTCTTTTATCTGGTATTTTAGGGGGGGAAAAAAAAAAAAAAAGGAGAGCCCACCCAGTAGAGGTTAATTACCTAACCCTTTGCAACTTGCAATTTCCACCTGTGGCACTGACTACACATAAAAAACTTTCTTTCAGGGGGTACCTAATTCAGAAAAGTTAACAGCTGTGTCCGCAGCAAATCCCTATTCAGAGAACCTCTACCCAAAGTGACCCATATATGCAAAGCAGTATTTTCTTCATAAAACAAAGATTAGTGCCCAAACAGAACTACATTATTTAAAAAAAACTATTTTTAACTTAGACGTTACCTTAGATGGGCATAGTTTATTACAATGCGGGCAGTAGTTTTGCTAATCACCTTGCCCAATACTCAAATGAGGATGACCATACTCAGCACTTTAATAGCTCATTTTATTTTTATGGTATCTATATCTAATTAATCCAACTGATGAGGAACTATCATTTTATTTCAAAAAGACAGAAACCAAGAACTTCCTGAGGAATGATCCTTTTAGAAAGACTGGAAGAGTCACCTTTTTTTTTTTTTAAGATTTTATTTATTTGACAGAGAGAGACTCAGCGAGAGAGGGAACACAAGCAGGGGGAGTGGGAGAGGGAGAAGCAGACTTTCCTGCCAAGCAGGGAGCCTGATGTAGGCCTCATTCCCAGGACCCTGGGACCATGCACGACCTGAGCCGAAGGCAGACACCTAACGAATGAGCCACCCAGATGGTCCTGAGTCGCCTTACTTACAACAGAAGCTTAAACTGAGAATAAGCTCTACCTAGCTTGATCAATGGAATTATACGCAGGGTCTAGAAGTCTATGAATGGTTTCAAAGGTCCTCCTATGACCTCACAAATATGGTCTCTTCAGTTTAAAATACTTTTACTCCTATTCTTCGACCGAAATTATTCTCTCCCTAGAGACTGAGCTCTCACACCTCCTGTCACTTCCTCCCTTTTCAAAATTAATCACTTCTATGTTCTTAGAGCACAGTCCGCATACTTCAATTAAATCATTCTAAGACACCCAGAATCCAATTAGTTCAGAGCTCAAAGGGCCTTGGAGATCATATGGTCCAATTCTCATCCTGTACACAAATGACAAATGGCAGAGCCAGATACTAACTTGTGCCTTCTAACTCCAAAGCAGTCTTTTTCTGCTAAACTCCTATTAAATTAAGAACTCTCATCAAATCAAAGCCCTATGGAAAATGCATTATTAACTGTGTACCATCGAGGAAGAAAAATGCTGCCAAATAAGAAAGCATGTGAAATAGTTTTATCACTTAGAATGTTTACTCTATTAAAGAGCTTTTTAAGACTTTGCCTCACCCCCAGAGGAGCTCCTCCCAAGTCAAGACAAGAGAGGATCTATAACAGATTTGCTACTACAGAAAACAGATGTCAGAACCAAGCGATAGATAGACACAGATTCCACCCTGCCCTGAAGCATGTTTGACCAGTGTAAAAATCCCTCGTCTCCCAAGCTCAGATTCAGCAGTTAGAGAACAAAGCACTGGGCTCTGGGTCGGGGGGAAAAGATCGAGGAGGGGGAGATAATCAAGTACTCACCATAGAAGCTGCCAGGCTCCATCCCCAAGGAGCAGGAAAGTGGCCAGAAGTAGTAGAAGCCAAACCCCAACCTTAGCAACCATAAAATGCCATCTATCTTACAATGCATCCAATTTCAGAGATGTTAAATGTTAATAATGTCCACCTTACAATCAATGGACTATGGCATCTGTCTGCTCAATCACATCCAACAAACTACCCCTGGTCCTTCATTTTACTTTCTGAGCATGCGTAGCATTCAGTTAATACAGAACTGCAATTCTGCCAGTTCAGGGGAATAAAGCTGCCCCCTCAACTCTAGCAACAATGCACATAGTTTAAAATGAAGAAGAAATAATTGAAAAATCCATTTCTTGACTATTCAACTGTAGATTATCAGTTTTGCAAGTCAGACACCAGGAGGATTATCTATAGCAAAATTAGTAATCCAGGAACATAGCACAGAGCTTTAGTACTCAGAGTGGACCCAAAGATCAGCAACAGGGGCCTCGCTGTCCTCCTGAGGACTCTCTCAGAATTGCAGGCCTACCCCAAACCTACCAAGTCAGAACCTGCAAAATCCCCAGGTGATTCCTATTTTGAGAGGGCCTGTAGAGGAAAAAGGCGGCTTTGGAGTCAATCAGAAAAGCCAGAGTTCAAATTCCAACTCCACTACTTACTTGTGTGAAGGTAAGGAAGCAGCCTCTCTGCTAAATGGATACAGCACCATGTTGTGTGCAGAAATGGAACTTGCTTATCAGCCAAACCTGACAATCTTATAAACAACCTAATTCACTCTAAAAACAGAAAGCAACAACAAAAACTAAAATAGTCATGATCTGATGCCTAGATCATATCCAAAATTTTTATCCAATTTACAAAGTAAATCAAATCAAGAGGACCTACTTGTTCACTGGAAGAATTGGAATTGAAGATCTAATACCAAATGTGTTTTAGCCTAGATTTCACATCCAAGTTTTTATCAAGTTTATTAAAGTCCATTAAGAGGCAAGTCCATTAAGAACAATTACTATGGGGGCTCAGTCTGTTAAGCATCTTCCTTCAGCTCAGGTCATGATCCTTGGGTCCTGGGATCAAGCCCCACATTGGGCTCCCTAAGCAGTGAGGAGCCTGCTTCTGCTTCCCCTTCTCCCTCTGCCTCTGCCTCCACTGATGAGTGCTCTCTCTCTCTCTCTCTCTCAAATAAATAAAATCTTAAAAAAAAAAAAAAAAAAAAAAACTACTACTATGGATTCCAGAAATAGAGTACACATACTACTTCTGCTCATCCTGGCACAACTCCAATGGGCTGAATGGCAGCAAGATTTTCAGGATTAGGGAACTGATGCAATAGTCATCAGAATAAAAGAAAAAATTTAAGGATTCATAGAAACACAACATCATGAGTTGCAGCAGCTTATTTCTGGTTAGCTTACAAACAACTGTGGTCAATAAGTCTGCTTTCAGAATTTATAGCAGGGATTCTCAATTCTGAGTGATTTTGCCCACCATGAAACATTTAAAACAATGTCTTTGGACATTTGTGGTTGTCACAACTGGTGGGGGAAGGGGGTAAGCTACTCGTGTCTAGTGAGCAGAGGCCAGGGGTGTTGGTAAATCGTACAAAGCACCGGACAAGCCCCACAACAAAGACTCATCCGACCCTAATACCATTAGGGCTACTAATGAGACACCCTGATTTAGAGTCAACGATCAGAAGACAGTACACCAAACTGCAAAGAATAAATGTAGTTTGTTATTTAAGAACAATCACCTTTTCCTCCTAACCAAAAAGATTTCTGCACTTATAAACACTGCACATACTAACTAAAATTAAGGAGGGGAAAAGAGTAAAAGCTTTCTTCTAACAGTTCTGCCTCCAAGCTACAGCGCTTAATGGCTGTAATCAGCAAACCAACCGTTATCCCTTCTGGCACCAAAATCCTAAGGACAAAAAAACTTATTAAATATTTGTAATGCAGACCTGCAGATGAGCTTGGCCTCTAAGAGTCTGAGAAATGACAGATCATACATGAAAGAAATGAGTCATCCAGAGTAGTAAGTCGTGTTTACAAAATATTCTCATTTTTGTGAAATTCTTTGTTTTGTTTTTCAAATTAAAAAACTCCTTCTTCCCCAATTGGCTATTTTTTTCATGCCTTACGATTATACGTTAGTAACCTGTGAACATGAATACTGACCTACACGTTACTGAGTGAATTACTGGTTACAACACTGACCAGAATGTATAGACTATGGTCCCTGGAATCCAACAAGTGTTCAACAAACATTTTATAAATGAATGAATGAACAATTGACTCGGAAATAAGACCTAATTTAGCCCTGTCCATTCTATTTTCAGAATACGGAATAAAGACGATAAATTTATGTATCAAAACTATAACATTCTATATACTGAAACCGCCTTGTATTTAACCTAGTTTTCCACAGCAAAACAATCCATCAACCTACAACTATCAAGTCAGGAGCAATGCTCAGTAACATTCATTTTTCTTGCTTCACATACAGTGCTTCCTGGGGATGCTTCACTAGTTCTCCTGTTTACCATCATTCATAAAAGCCTTGACTTTCTCTCACTGCAACTCTCTTCCTGTCACAATTGAACAGTACAGCAATCATAGCCTGGAGCCCTACCATATGCAAATGTATGCAAGTGTATGTATGATCAAAAAACAATTTTAGTAACCTCAGGTAACATTCAAATTGGTTCTTGAGGAATTTGGGAATTTATGAATGATAAAGAGCTACTATTCTAACAGGATCCTTTCTTCTAGTATGCTAACTAGGCATTTGGCTTCTAAATCCAGATAGAATCAGCAAACCCACATGAAGTAAGAAAGTATCAATTTATATCATAAATACTTAATTAGTTATCATAATAAATGTGATGTCCAATTAATAGTTAGCAAATATCTCTTAATATGTAAGGGGTGGAAATATAAGTAGTTACTGCTGTTAACAAGGAACAACAGCACATGTCAACAATTAT